AGGTAATATAAAACTTCCTAGACCATATAAATGCTGTGGTAAGCATATTTTTCCTCCAATACCTTGAATGCTGTGTGATATTGAAGTAAGAGCTTAGGACGTGCCTGCTTTTCAGAAGGATACCATAATTCAGATGATTTGGGCCAAATGACTGCACCTAGAGCTTATTCCAGTTTAGCACTCGAAGAGCCGCCCTGTTCTTTCAAATGGGGGGTTGAACAGGGACTCCTATAGCTATGTTTCCACTCCTTAGCTATAAGGATGGGAATAGCAATATAAAAGTGGCGTTTCTGCTGTATGCAACTATGGAAAATGCCTTCAACCTTCTACTTTAAAAATTGTCATATTTTTTTTGCCATGAGGACTGGTGCAAAACTTTGGTTGCCTTAGGTTATGTTTGTCCCCAAAGACTTACATAAAAAAGTAAGGAAAATTTGGGGGAATAGGGAAATCTGAAAACCAGAGCTTAGAGCAGATTAGCTAGTATATACTGTGGTCATAGTTTACTGGGTAGAATAAAACTTCTATCTAATGTGCTTCACAATAAAATTTCTATTATTTCGTGGCAGGGAATTTCTTTATTGCTTTGTTTACCTGAATTTTACTGCAGTGTTAGCATTTTATTTTTTGAATTACATGCGTATGTTTCCTGCAAAGAGCATCAAGGAGCTGTTTAGAGTACACAAGGAGGTAACACTACTAGTGCTATCTCAAGCATTGTAATTTTGATGTGTAAGATCATCTTCAACTTAATTCAGAAATAATTTGGGAAATACATTTTGAAGATGGTACTGTGCGTGCCCTTTCATACTTGCAGATATAACTTGGACTCTTACTTGAATGGTTCTTCTGTCCTTATCTGTCCCCACACTGCTTTGATTCTGAGTTTTAGGTTGCTTTCACTCTTAGCCAGGAGGCTTCCAAAGTATTCTAGACTTTATTCTGAGTTCTTCTTTCAACAGAACTTGCAATGTATTGGCTTAGAAAGAGGACAACAATTAAAATTACTTGAATGCTAATAGACCAATACTGTTTTACCGTGACTTCTCGGAAGTCTTCGCGTAATCCTCCATTAAAGAACCAGAAGCAGCAGAATGTAGTGGAGAATTCCCAACCCAAAGTTCAGATATGTTGATGGGTCTGAGTTGACTGTGGGTCTGACTGTTTTTAGACTTGCATGCACCTTGTCAAATTAATGCTGCAGTGATAACTGCAGCACTCTGAAAGAAGTGCGTTCTTTTGAGCAAAAACTCTAGATCTGCCCAGGATACTGATTCTGATCTAGAATTAGGGCTGTGTGGGCCCTAATGTGAGAAGAGTGATGTGGTCCCTGCTTAATGATTTAGTTCTGATTATGTCAGCTCAGTCCGCTCTAGTGGCAAAATACTACTGTTGAGAATTAAGTCAACAAGGTGGTTTTTAACTAATGCATTTTATTTTGCAGTTGGGAAAGGTTGTCAGTATTTCCATGGTCAGTTACTGCCACTCTGATGAAATAACCGGAGGGGCAGTAATTTGATTGTTGATGCTTCCTGTGTTTACATCCTTCAGGCTTTGGTACTGCGATAGTATAGTACTTTGATTTTGTCAGTACTCATGTTTTCTCCACACTTTTTCAGAAGAGGAGAGCTACACGTCTCAGATCTCCTAAGAAAATCAGGTTCAGATTGATTCAGAACTTGGAATTTTTTTCAGAAACTGTAGTGGTACAGAAATCGGAACTAAACCAGTTCTTTGGGGTGTTTTAGCCTGGCATAAAAAAATGATCTGCAGAGTCTGTGCTCTTCTTCTGATGGATTGTTCTTGATCCTCATTGATTCCTGCCTGCTTTCATTGTAGACTTTAAATGTGCAAAGTAGAGAAATATATTTGCAGTTTTAAGTTGCCCTCATCTTACACTCTCTGTTGTTAGAGGTAACGTGGCCGAGGGTTTGGTCAGTGATCCTGTTTTCAGTGCTGTTAAGTAAGACTGGATAAATCAATTTTCTTTGCCTCTCTCCCTCCTCACTTACCTGTGAAAAGAGATTCTAGGCTGAAATATTTAGCTTTTTTTGTCATGCTTAGCACAGTGGAGATGCAGGTTCTGGCCTGTAGTAAAAAAGTGATTTATTCTTGGTGCGTTTTGTACACTGTATATATTCGCTTCCTTTACAATGTAGCCATCCCACCTGCAAGAAATTCAACAGTAAATCGCTTGATTTACTTGAGCTAGAAAGTTGCAAATCATAGTAGTGGTAGATTCCTGGTAGTCTGAATTTGGTTCCATGTAGCTGCATGGTCACACAGTACATTTTTCAGTCTGGAGCAGCCCTGCTTTTTAGCTGTTTTTAAGGGAACAATCTTTGTGCTTGCAGTGTGCCAAAGGCAGTGATGCATTTTCTGGTGAACCACGTGAAAGACACTCTCCAGAGCGAGCTGGTAGGGCAGCTATATAAATCTCTGTTGTTGGATGACCTTCTGACTGAATCTGAGGACATGGCACAGCGCAGAAAAGAGGCAGCTGACATGCTAAAGGTATTAAAAAATCAAGAGCTCATACGAACAGTTAATTACATTGCTAAAATCCAACATTTATATCATGGTTTCAGACTTGCATTCCTTTGTTCTTTGCGCTGTGTGTGTGTGTGTGGTTGGTGGTGGTGGTTTTTCCTCTTTTTAAGAGGATGCTCGTATATTATTCCTCTATACTGGAGGCATTAGAAACAATATGTGAGCAGAAAGTATTAGGCAGGTTGAGCACTGTGCATTTGTGTCAGGAAGAGGAGGGTTAACTATATTCTGGGAGTAAAGCAGAAGCTCTAATCTGGTATTCTTTTCACTAACACATTCGGTTTTAATCATTAGCTCTTATTTAACTTTCCTTTAAGTGTTCTGCAGTTCTCTTTTGGGGGAGTCAGATGTTTTAACTGCAGTTCAAGAGCCAGCTGGCCTATAGCTGGTGTTTCTGGTCAGTACCATATTCCGAATATTGGCAATTTTGGGACTGAGTTATGTTGACTGCTGTGAACATCTGTATAGTTACGTGGTGTGTCAGAACCTGATGCAGTTGCAGGAGAAATATGCTTTTTATATTGGACTGCAAAGAAAAGACTGCCTCTGAAAGGGCAGTTCAGCTCACTGAAGAAGTAGCAGCAAGAGGTGCTGCTTGCATGCAGTGTGGTTGGACAGTGTGTGTTTGAGGTTAGATAGATCCCCTAATATACCACTTGTCCAAAACCACCTGTAGCAAGTTTAATCTTTGTTCTTACACGACCAGCATATTTGAGTTTAAAAGACTCTTCCCTTCACTGTAAACTTTATCAGCGCCAAACTTATTGCTCTGATTTCTCCAGACTGGAATAATGCCTCAAATAATGCTCGTTCGTGTTAGTTGTTTCTCTGACCTTAAAAACAACAGATTTTAAATTTGCAAGGGTTAGTCGGCTAGACTCTGCAGTGAATGCATCAGAATGCAAACAGTGATACAAAATAGGGGCATCTTCTCTTTTTTGGAGAAAGAAAGTTTGAAGTATTAAAACTGTGTGATGAAAAGCTCTGCCCTTCCTGGATATAGTTATGGATACAGAACATTAAGACAAACGTACAGGTCATTGGAAACACCGAGTATGTAAAAATTGCTGAAAATGAGTTGAGCTTTTTGCTTCTAACCAGAGGTTCAGTTTTCAATTGATTTCTAATTCCTTTCTCTCTAGAGAAATGATTTGCTGACACGTATGCTAGTTTTACCACCACCTTTCACTTTGTAGTATTTTAATTTGCATAGTCTTCTGCAGAGGAAAGATTTCGGAGTTGTTTATCAGTGTTGTTGCAAGTTGTAACCATTCACTTCACAATGAAAAAGATTAGCTTTGCTTTAAATTTTAACGTCGCATTTCCTGGAGTGCTGTTCTTATGTCTTGAGAAATCTCTTTGGAAAGGTCAAATAACCTTTTCTGTCTTTCTGTGCACAGGCCCTGCAGCGAGCCAGTCAGATCATTGCAGAGATTCGTGAGACACATCTTTGGTGAAGACTGTACCGGTCACCCTATTTATATGGATTGGAGGATACCTTGACTTGAAAATTGCTAGGCATGGTATACGGAGTAGAATCTTTATTTATGAACTCTTATCTGTGTACTGCAACTGTGTAAATCTGCTCATGTAAAGACAGTTGGTTTGATTTGCAAACAGAAAAATATGCTGTATTTTGCAAAGTAAGTCATATTTAATCCATATAATAAATGGCTCTAAATGTTCCTTACCAGCTTTCTGGTGCAAATTAAAGCAGACCAAGTCTACTGTCTCATTGACAGTCGCATTTCAACTTGGGGAGAAACCATTGAAGTTCCAGTGCCTGACTTGCTAAACAGGTTGCCTGTGGTTAAGATGGACAGTGTAGTCTTGTGGCATAGTTTTAAGCTGCTTTTACAATAGAAGTTTCAATACTGTGAAGAGGAGAGAGCACCATGTATTTTCTTTCCTGAATATATTGCATGCACTGTGGCAGATGGAGATCTCAATTTTCTAGCACAGTAGAGATGTCTATCATATTACTATGTATTTGTGTCCCCGTATTTTTCAGAATGTTAAAACTGTGGACAAAACTTTGAACTTCATTTAATGAGGTTTCAGTTAGGATAAAATAGCCTGGAGTTTGCAGAGAAGTAACAGCCTGCCAAAAAGTGGGTGCAAAGTTGTTAATGTGCACTGGAGCTTGTGTATAAATGTCGGGGAAGATAATCAGGTACAAGAACACCTTCCCCTCCCTCTCTTCCGGGACCAAGCCCCTGGACAATCCACTAGTAAACTTGTTCTGGCAGAATTGGAAAATAAAAATGAATTTCAAAACTGTTATGGGATAGTAAGTGTTTCTTTTAAAAACAGATTAAGTTGGCCTGGCAGAAGGGGATCCCCATAACTTTTTTCAGATTTTGAAATGTATGAAAGAAAGTCCATGAGACTGTAATCTTACCAGTGATTACAGTTACTTTTGAGGAAATTTCACAGTGCTGTAAGTAGCGTTTTTTTTTTTCTTCTTTGAGGACAATCTATTTTGTTTAGAATTAGGAAGTGTTAGGTTGGAAATTAAGTTGATGAATTCATTTTTTTTCTTATGATTTTAATTCATACAGGTAAATATTGATCACCCCAACCTTTAAAGGATAAACATTTAAATTTTTTATGAATAAAAGTGTATTCAGATTCCAGCACACTTGCATGTACTTTTCAAACACATTAATTTTTTTGTGTGAAGAAAACATGTTTGTTACGGTGTTGCTGTTTTATCTTTAACACAACTTGCATGAAAAGTAAGACACTGCTGTTAACATCCATGGCTTGCTCTTAGTAAATCAGGCCAGTATAGTGAGGTTTTTATTCCCACATTCAATTCCTTCCCCATTTCATCAATTAACTGAAATGGAATTCCTTTTCTAAGCTGCTAAAGACTGAAAATTTAAAAACTGTTAAGGCCCCAGTTTCCAAGAATGTCTGATAAAAATTTGTTTTTGTCATGGTAATCTTCAATTTGGCACCAGTATATGCACAGGGAGTTAAGTTTCACAGGTGCAATTTTTGGCTGGTTTATGCGTTATTTCAAATAATGCATGCAGAACAGAAATATAGTCTGTATTTTTTTTTAAAGAATCTAAAAACTCATGGGATATGAATCGTATATAATCATTATAAAGGAAATAATTTTAAGTTCTCACATCTTGTCCAGGGATATTTCCTTCTCAGATTCAGGAAATGTGACTGTAGCAAAGTCAGAACTGCATGTTTTCAAATCAATTTTGAACAACAGTGAAAGTTTTAGTATTTTGTCAAAAACATTAAATTTCTACTTGGAATCCACCTAACATTTGCCTTGCACTTTTGACATCTAAGATGTTTTCGACAAGGCAGAACCTTCAGTAAGCAAACTGCTCCCTAAGCTTTTAACTCCCAAAATTCAATCAACGGTCTATTGTCAAGGAACGTGCTGACTTGTGAAGTTACAAAATGCTTCTTCATACAGCAAAGGCGTTCTATTTATCTAAGAAACTTTTGCAAGTGATAACCAGCTGTGTAATGTCATGTGAAATTTCCGAAGTGTTGTTTCTTGAAATGTTTTTTGCTTCACCAAAATTTTAAATTTGATAATGTGTAAGTGCTATGAAATGAATTTGTTGTCCTCAATGCAAGTCTTTAAAAATCCATGCTGTAACAACCCTTTAATTAAATAAACATATAAAACACAAAATTAATTATCCCAGAAATGAAGTTTTGAGCTGACTTGTAGTTCAGGTAGCAGGAATATATGCTTTTACAAGTTTATAGACTGATTAACCATATTTTTACAGCCTTGCGTTTGTTTGCACTTGCCCTTTCTGCGATTCTACGCTGTTAGTTCTTGTATGACAGTGTAAGTAATAGTGCAGACAGGCCCCTGGTGCCTATTAATGGTTTTTAAACAATGTGTTGTCTGGAATTGGACTGAAACACCTAAAATGCTACTGTTGCTGCCATCCTTAGAAGAAATGATGGGGAAACTATGGAAAAAAACAAATGGAAGACAGTAATTGAGTAATTCCCAGTAGATCAGCTTGTTCCCTTACAAATCTCTTCTAGTCTACCTTCATTAACTTAAACCTGGTATTTTTGTCATCAATAAGCAACTTCCAGCTAACTTGAAGAAATAACTTGCTATCCAGTGAAATACACAACCTTGGAGGAGAATAAGCACAGTAGCCAAAAAGTTTAGATCAGTAAATGTTTGATGGTACCTGCAGTATGTGTGGTACTATTGTAAATAAAACATAACATTGTGTGCTTGAACATAGCTTGTCAATAAATTACTTGGGTTTTTTTAGCGGTGAGTTTCAAATTTCACTCTTGCAATGGAATAGATGGGCTTTGGGGAGTGTCTGTGCTTCAAGAGTGTATTCTCAAACAGATTTCTAAAGGAGACGTAACAAAACGTAGGCAAAACTAGCCTTTACCTTATGTATTGTGGAAGACTGGCTTTGAGAGGATATATTGCAAGTTCAAGTTCCTGCTTTATTGAATACAGCAGGGGAAACAACTTACCTGTCTGCTGTGACCCTGTTGCTAACTTTAAATTAACTTCTCCTCAGTAATTTTTTTCCTCACTGTTAACATCCTAGCTATGAGAGCAGACTGCAAGCTAGTGTTTTCAGTAGACAATAAAGTTCTCAAATGCATATGCTTTTGTAACTTGTAGCCTGTCAAACTCTCTGCTCTAAGGGGACAGAGTGAGATCATTAGTACTCCAAAGCTTAACAGCAAAAGAGAGTAGGCCACCTGAATATGGTTTTATGCCCGAGCAGCTACACTTCTTAAACTAGTGAAGGTGTTTTTAATGCTTGGATAGCTTCCTTTTATACTTGCTGCATGCTCATTTACCTTTTACCTCTTCAGTGTGAGTTTTATGAAGTTAAGCACTGCTTGAAAGCAGCCACTACTACTGCTAACCACCACAACAATGGTGTTCATATTCAAGTCCTTGAGTTTGCACTTTCCCCAGATATTGTACAAATTTTTTTAAAACCTCTGGCCCCAAATAATTGTTTTTTGCACTTCTAAACTGCACAGTTGTAGCCACATTAAATACTGAAATAGTAATATTAATTTCTGCTTGTTTATGTTTTAATGGATTGTCTTTCATTGATCACTTGACCATACCTGTTTTTGGGGGTACCTGAGGACTAAAACTAGTCTAAGAAAGAATACTAGATGTTTAGTCATCCTTGATTCTGGGCAAACTGGTCTACCACCCAAACATGCCACCCTGTAGCGACAGGTAATAGACTGTCCAGGGAAAGTAGTGGCTGTGTTCAGCTTTTTCCTTAGAAAGAGTAATGAAAAGGCTTGGACTGCTGAGCAGTGGTCAGAAGGAAGGACAGAATAAATTTATTGGAGTTGAATCGTATTAAAAAGCCTTGTATACAAACAATTCCCTTTTTTTTTTATTTTGTGTGTATTTGTAAAAAAAAAAAAGATAAAATAAAATCCTTTTAATACTCTATTGAAATGGGTACTAATGCTTTAACAAAACACGTTTCTTGTGGATGTTTTGTTGGTATATGTTAGCATGCGTCATTTGGAGATGAAAAAGGTAGGAGAAATCAGACATGAGAAATAATAAGACTTCTACTCATAGGTGTGTACTTCCTGCAAAAAAGAAAGTACCTGTCAAATCTGATTTGTTGTATTTCTTTAGTGGTTAATATGTTTGTGTGGTGGTACATTTTGTTCCTCCTACTTGGCATGTTTCTGTATTGTTCTAATGCTGCTACCGTTTAAGGTGCTAGGTGACTAAAATATTTGAAGTGGATGAACTTCTGGGAAAACAGCTTTCTTGAATTAGTTTAACTTCCACCCTTCTCCCATCAAGATTGTGATTTTTCTCTGTATGCTTCCTCTAGGCTAACTCTGATGCAGCAGCTTCAGGCACGTAACAAGTAACAATAACAAGTAACGCAAACTGGTTTTAAGAACTGACAAGATACGTAAGGCCCTTTTTTTTTTTTTTTTTAAAAAAAAGGTAAGAATTACTGAAGTACTTATATGAAAAAAAATAAAAATAGGGAACAAGATTGAGATATCTCTCTCTATTTCTGTCAAACAGATAAGTGATTCTTACCTGACTGAAATTAATACTATGAGCTCCATGTAGTGAGCTACTGCACATACTGTCATATAACAGTTTAATAATCTGAAGAAACGGATACATAAGCTGCTATAGCTTATTACCACTGAAATCCTCAAGGACAGTGCAGATAAAGCCAACATCAAGTTATCCTAAGTAAAAAGACAAGAACCAATAAACGCCCAAAGAAATGCCCTCAAAATTTAGAATAGCTGGATTCTTGAGAGGTGTTAATTATTTGTATTTTTTTTTCATAGTTAGGGAGTTTTTAAACCAGCTGAAATGCGATGACTATTTCTAACATCATGAGATTAGGGTTTCTCCCTCTGCAGTTGCTGTGGAATAGTATTGTCTTTGAGTTTCACGTTCTCCTCAGCTGATGAAGAGCAAGGATTACCTTAATCTTTCAAAATAGCACTGTAGCCAAGGTCCAAAGCAGTTCCCTCATAAATCAGACAGAGTGTTTCATACCTGTTTGCACAGGGACAGAGAGGGACCCACAAAAAAAAAAACACATTCTGAGCCAGCCCTGCCACTGCTACATTGATTGTACTATTACTGTAGCAGCCCTCTAACAAGCCCTGCCTGTTAAGAGTAATTTGTACTCCCAAAACAAGTTTTGGTAACCACAGGGAGGGGACTTTTTGTTGTTCAGGTGACCTGGCCATAAGTACCTTGGCACCCTGTATTGTGTAAGCAACTCAACCCCAGCTTAAGCTTTATCATGGGAAGGGAGAAGTTTGAATCTGACAGTGTGCTACATATACACTGCCTGCTCACTTGGTTTCAGGGGTGTAAGCAGCTCCACAGGTTAGTAATGAAGGGTGTTTCAGAGCAATAAAATAAAGCAACACTGTCTTTAAACATGGACGTTATTATTCTACCAGCTCTTGTAGTACCACCCCTTTCTCTGTTTCACGTTCTTTATGAGAAAAATCAGGACAATATGATTAAATGCTGGACGGGCCATAAGCACTAGGAACATTTTTCTCTCGTCTTGCCAGAAGATACTGCTTTTACATGTTGTCCTATCTGAAGGGGCTGACTCTGTAGTTGCAAGAACACTGTAGCTCTTCTCATGTGGTTTCTGGTCCAGATACCCTTCAATTGCTTTTACACCCATAACATACATGAAAGCTTTTTTGATTTTTGATGCCTAGCAGTAAGATGTGCTTCAAATCTTCAGGTGTAACAAACACATTAGCTTGCAACTTACTGTAGAGCCCACACAGCCAATGCCAGGATACACCTTTCCAAAAGGATTCCAGATAGTACAGATGCATCCCTATAACTCACAGGACTGAATAAGCAGAACAAATGCCACCCTCCCCACTGTAAATCACAGTAAACACACAGAAGGCATGAAAGTCACAAGGCTGAGGAAAGCTTTGGAAGTCTCAGCAGCCTTGATGTGAACTTACTTACACTCACATTTTTCTCTTACATTTCAAAAAGTGGTTTTGTCCTGTACTACTCTACTAAGGCTGGAAAGCCTTTATGCACCATGTTGCATACATACATAACCAATAAGAAACTCAGATATCAGGGCTTAACCCATCTACTCATATATTGTGAATCTTTCACAGCTTGCTTTAAGCCCAACCTGTTCAGATGATGTTGATTGTAGGGTGTATGCTCTTACCCACTTAAGCAGGTTTCTCTGTTAGGATGAAGTCAAAGTGGACAGCAGCATATATCCTCTGTAAGAAACAGAGGTTTCCAGTATGCTTTTGCTCAGCTTGCTGTGGATTATTAGCGTCAGGTCACTTCTCTTCTTCTCTCAACACAGGAATTTTTTAAGGAGGGGAAGAAAGTCTCCATCTTTGACTTTGAAATTAAGCTTTTTTGTTTTCTAGTGCATATCTTATGGACGGTGCTTTGAGTAACACAGCGTCTACAGTCTCTTCAGTGGCATAACTTCTATGCGAGATTAAAAGATCCAAGAGCTGCACAGGACAACATTCCAGTTCTGCATTTTAGCTGTGCCTGTTCCCCTGGCAATCCCAGCTGCTCCTTTTTTGGTGTTTTAGGTAGTTCTGTATCTTACTATTTCCTAGTGGACAGAACAAAACTGTCACTCGAGACTGGCTACTCTTCATAAGTAACAGCTGACGTTCACAGCCACTGGATTAACTTTAAATGTTGTCAATTAAAAACAAATTGTTGCAAATAATAACAATTCTAATGGAGTTCAAAAATCCAAACGCAGATGCAACTTTTGTGCAGCTTTTCATGATGTTTGCAGTGTGAGGGCCACATGAATGAAGCGTGCTCCACCCTGAAGGAATCTAAGGTGCAGCAGCCGGAAAAATCTGCTAAGAATTTGTAATTATTACTTTTCTGATTCCGTGTTTAACAAGTCTGATTGAGAACTTACTATCACAATTAAAACATGAAATCATACACCTTCAGGATCTTAGCTGCCTTTATTTGAACCCCTTCAGTCTATTTTCGTTCTTGCATTTTGAGAAGAACTGCACTATGGTACTAGGCAGTTTGTGAGCTGTACAGTAATACACTGTATAGAAACAAATGCAAGTACGTCTTCGTGCAAGAAGCTGAGGCGTTTCAGCTTCTTTCAGAGCTGAAATAATACCTCATTTTAAGGAGATATCCTGTTGTCACAACTGCAGCCATTTTATAATGTAGTAATTTTTCTTTCCAATCCTAAGTAATGATACTCCATTCTTGAGAATATGCTGTCCAAGAACAAGAACAGTCTCAGGATTAGTTTCTCGAATCCCATTTATTGAAACTCCACCATCTGTAATTTTCTGGTACCTAAAAGAAAACCAACACACCACATACACAACATTAACTGCAAGAGGAAACTAATTATTGCTGCATGCAAAAAGTGACTGGAATGAACCTTAGCCTCTGCCACTCCCATTCTTTCGGAGGAGTACATAAGGAAGCTTACGCTGTTACTATTACCTAGTAGATTTTACAACAAAAGCGAAAGAGACCCCCATATCCTACACTTCCACTTCAAAATGGAACGAGGCCTACTGCCCCCTCTTTTTTAACACTGGTATGCAGATGGGTAACAAGTTACTAATTGATTTGGGCGTTCTGGTTTTTTGTTTAACTTCTGAAAGCACACCGCTACAGCGTGCCTAAGTGAAGTGTGAGTAAAAAGCACAAATGATAACATACCCACTAGGTCCATTTGGAATGGCATTTGCCTTGCGACACAAGTCGAGCACATTCATTCCAGGTTCCAGCATCAGTTCAGCAAAAGGAGCTTGTCTAAAAAGTTCCTGTAACTCTTGGTCAGACATAGCTTCTAATGCCTCCACACTGCTGTAATAAAGGGCTTTAGTACACCTGTGAAAACAAAAAGTAGTATGATCATTCAAAATACAGTTCTGGTCTCATATTCGCGCAAAATGCAGTTCAACGAATCCGATGAAATAAAGGATTTTCCTCCCCAACTTCTTTGGAGGGTCCACGCAGTGCCAATGGTACTTAAGAATTAACACAAATCCCAGTGAACATTTTATTATATGCAAATTTTACTCATTAATATATTTTCCTTTAAACCTATGGAATTATTACATTTTTCCTCTTGTAACAGCCGAGTACCAACTAACTCCATGAAAACACTCTCAGAAAAGCTGTGGATAAATACCACTGAACAAACTTGAAAGAGAAGTGCTCAACAAATCAAACCTCAACAAATCACCTCTTAGCAGATTCCAGCCCCTCTCTACCGTGAACAAGCTTAGTTACTTCTGCAGCAAGTCGTTTCTGAGGGCCCCATTTTTCCGGTTCCTTAGCATGCATTTCCATGATGTGGTCAATCTCCTCAAGAGGAAGGAAGGTGAAGAGTTTCAGGTATCTACAAGCAGGGAAGAAATTATTTTGTCTATACAGCGGTCATACCTGTCTATACAGCCGTATACCTTAGATTTAATTACCTGTCATTCCAACTTCATTAACTACGCTAAAATAATTCTTAATCACTTCATGAAATTTGTACTACAGATATTCTATCCTTTCAGACAAGTCTTTGCTCCTACCCGTGTACTTCAGCTTAACATGGTAACTTGTGTTTTGTTTAATATTCCCTCGAGCATAACGTCTTGAAAATAACGTAGAAGAGCCAAATGCTTTCATGAAGCCACTTACATTGCAATCGAGAGCTACTGAGGATTTTGTCTTTATATGTGTTGCAACATGTCCTAAAAACTAACCACAGTCCTGCTACAGCTGGACATCCTTCAAGTTTTGCTGCACTTCAGTCTCATGATATTTGTTTTGCAGATCAGTCCACTTGCTATTATAATAGCAAGCAGCAGATAAGAATGTGAAAAAAGTCTTTGCTTCCATGTTCTGAGATTAGGAAGATGTACATATCACTTTAATAAAGCCCTCAAACATCAAGTATAGTCAAAATGGTGCAAATCATCCCCATCTGCAATTTTCGAAAAGGTCCACTAAAATTTCCACAAGGTGCTTGAAAAGGATGTACATAGCCCTAAGGTTTTGCTATGTTAGTACTTTTGGACATTTACATAACAAGCACTCCCATCATCTAAAATTGTTTATTAATACTTGTGTGAGTTATGTTATTATCTGAGTAAAGAAAAAAATTAGAAATAGGTGGTATGTTTGTCTAGAAGAGAGTTGGGCAAAATTTCTAAAGAAGTTGTTTTCATATGCAAATATTAGTTAGTTACACTACTAAACTGTAGCCCAGGGTACTGATTAATACTACCTTTGAAGAGGTGTAAGTAGTTACTGATTTGACCAGCTATGTGGATTTTGTCAGTTCCGTTTTGCTCCTTTGCCTTAGTTGTTTCAACAATTTCAACAATAACTTAAAACTGACCCCTGAAAACTCTCTACCTCAAAAACATATTTACGCTGTCTGCCATGAGCTTAAAATGGTATCATTTTTTCCCTTTGGAACTGTGCTACTACTATAATGTACTTGTCTCCCTGGTATGTTTTTATCTAGACACTGTAAAGTATGACCACCTTAGCTTTTTCCTACCAAAACACTCTTAAATTGTTTACGGATATATTCACTATTTCATGAGACTGTTCGGGTGTAATAGTGTAGTATTTAATGTGAAACAGTTCTAGATGCTGAACTGTGTGTGTTTATTTACTACTAGTTAAGAAACTTCTTGCGATTAGAACGTGATGTTTCTGGATACCTCATACTATGTAAAAACTTTTAGTAGTTAGTATCTATTAAAACTGCAGTTGCTTTTTACTTAGATATTTAATTCAATACCATGATGTTATTGTAATGAAACTGACATACATCATAAAAGATGAATTTCAGTCACTCTACTGGCAGACTGGAATGTATTATGCTTTACTCATACTTCAATACTAATTTATGATGCACATGCTAGCATGGAAACAGGTTCTATCCTGTATATTTATGAATCAGTCATGCTTGTTTATTTAACAAGAATGCTAAATATAGTTAACGTTTACTTCTGCATGGTGCTGTTGGAAATGATACTAGTTACATGACCTCACCCTGCACATACTTGCATGGAACAGTTACGAGCAGGTTTTATAAACAATGACAAAAGGCAAGATGAAAAGCAACTACTTACTTTTCAACTATGTTATCCTGTTGTCTGACAAAAAACTGATATAGCTCAAATGGAGAAGTCTTATCCCTGTTCAGCCAAACTGCATTACCAGCAGTCTTTCCCAGTTTATCTCCAGTGGTACTGGTAATAAGAGGTACCGTAATTCCAAACACATCTTCTCCTGTCACCCTGAGAAAAAAAAAATCACACATAAAAAAAAAAAGAAAGAAAAAAATCAGATCTTGGTAAGCTTAAATAAAACTTAAGCATTCTGTAAGATTCTTCTATTCTTTATGCAAAGCAGTAAAATAATATACCAGCAAGAAAAATAAGAGAAGCCAAAGCACAGTCCCAAGAAGGGTGCTTTAGGAAAAAATCTTCAACTTAAAAGTTTAAGTTCTTTTTCTGTGTAAGGAAGAGGCATGAATATTTTAAATAATTAGTTTCAAAGCACTAGCAAAGCGTCCCATATCTTTTTTTTTTTTTTTTGTGCTCTGAGCACTAACTGAAGCTGCTTGTTTGGTTGGGACACTTGTAACGTTTTTCTTCCATGTTGATTCTCTAATATCTTGCAAGAGCCAAGTGAAATAAAAGCATTCCCATGTACTCTCTCCTCTGCTTGTTTCCTTCTGTGAACTCTGTAAGACTCGTACCAAATTTGGGCAAAAGCTCATCATCAACGGGTTCTGTTTTCGCTCTGAGAGAGGAAACACAAGTATCTTTACAAATACGCCACAACTGCCTCTACTTAGATGTGATTACACTAGATCGTTTTTACCAATAGAAAATACGGTGTTTGGTCAAAAAAATAAATTGTTGACTCCTAATGGAGAAAAGCATGGCCAAGATGCATGCGTAAAGTTCACAGGCAAAACAACAAACTATTCTTTTTCTTCTCAAGTCCCGCAATTTAAGCTAATATTAACTCTCCGAAGGAGAGCTTCCACTCTTGGCACGTGAAGGCCTGTCAACACAAGGTCCCGCAGAGTTAGGAACTCTGATGTCCGGGCCCCGTTTCGTTTTCAGAGCGCGGTCAGCACGCTCTGTCCCTGGGACAGGCGCAGGAAGCCCTGAGCCCCCTCCGGTGACGCGTCTCCACCTGAACCCAGCAGCCAGCCGCGGCGCGACTCCGCAGCACGTCGACGACACCCGCCACGAGCCCGAGAGCTGCCCGTACCCGTTACGGCAAAG